AAAGAAAAGAAAAAAGAAAAACCAGGAGTTATACTACCGAGCAAAAAGAAAAGTGGAGACAGAAAGTAAAGAGTGAATTGTTTTTTGGAGGTGCTCTCTGCAGCACAGAGGGGTCGCGTGTGTGGCTATGTGTGTGCAAACAGGCACTCCAAAGCAAAAGTGATTATCTGAGTTGTTAAGTTGTGTTTTTTTTAGGGGGGGGGGGTTAGGGTATAAAATGAAGAAATTCAGAGTTCAAATGTGCAGCACAGGTCATACCTTATTGGCCCAGGCGTCTTCATCCCACGTGGTGAGCTGTAAGACTCTTATGATCTCGTTGATTTCAGCGCTCATCTTTTCAAAGGTAAACCTTCTGTTCCTCTCTGCCTCCTCGACGCCGGCACCTCGACTGCTCTTGGTGGCCACAAAAATCTTTATAGCTGAGGGCAGAAACGTGAGAATTGATGATTACAGTCAAGCAGGAGCATTTATTTATTTCAAAATATATAAAAAACTGTTATCAAAGTAACTATTTGTAGCAACCCCCTTAGCAATGTAGTATCAGAATATGATCAGATATTATCATTCACTTGTTAGCAATCAGTTTATTATTTATACAGCCGGCAGATACAAAGCAACATCAGCATAATTTTTCTCCACCAACTCCTGAGGGAAATTTCTGACTCTTTGCTACTGTAACTTGGTCTTCCTGGTGGTGAAAATTGGATTTGTCAGAGCGTCCCTACAGAAAACATCGGCCTGCAGCAGCCAAGATTGTGAGAGTGAACTAAAACACTGAAGTTGCAGGTCGGATAACAAACCAATGAGCTGATACTAAAACGCTCCGTATATCTGAGGGAAATCAGAATCGGGTGATCATTATCTGTGGATTCAACACTACTTGTGCGTCCTTTCACAAGCAGTCATGTGATACAATGTGTAAAAACATTGATTATCTGTGATCTTGACAGAGGAAACTGTCGGTTCAAACTTTTTTGACATTATATACACATTTAACAATGTACAGCTTGCAAGAGCTGTGACGGTGTTTCTCTTCCTTGCTGGTGCCGTATAAAGTATGAGAGATGCTAGCAGAGCAGCTAGTGGGCGATGTATGCCTGTAGTCAGTCTGACATCCCCAGCAACTAATTACTGTAATTAACAGCGTTGCTATAACAACTGTTGGATGCTCAGTGACCTGCACTGTCGTTTGCCTTCACACACACACACAGTCGCACATACACACCTGATATAAGAACAGGCAGCAGCTCTTTGACAGTGTTCATGGAGTTGACGAGCATCTGCCTGTGTTCTTGGTGCGTAAGTTCCTGCTGCCTCTCCTCAATCATCTTTGACATTTTGGTCATCCCTGAGGAAAATAAAGAAAAGTAGGGAGAATTTATGGTGCTGTGAAAGTTAGAGGTCATTCAAATCAAACCAAGCAGCATGTAGAATACAGCAAATTCTTAATAAAAGCCCTTGCAAATTAGCATCAGCTTTAAACACTATGATACTTGAATTGGATAGCTGTCGCCTTTGTTTGTATGTTCCAATAAATAAATAATAGTGACCTTGAGTTTGATGTTAGTGTCACAGTTTTAACTACGCTCCAACAATCAGAGGCCCAGGGCATCCGCCAGTGTTTTCACCAACTGAGTAGTTTCAACACATCCAAACAGATCATTACTCCATGAACGATTGATCTCGTACAATGAAAGCATCAGTCAAGTGTGAGAAAACCTTGCCATTGGATTTCCTCCAGCTCATTATGCCACCGTGCACTGACAACACAATTGACCTTCTACCTCTGATGATAAATAGCCTGTTTACGGTCCCGCTCTCCTGCCAGGGAAAAAGACTCTGATCCTTAATCACAGCATCTTAGTGTCAGAGGAGCAGTCGGTACTTCTCATCATGACAGATGGTTTTTAACCCAGAGAACGGTTTAAAATAAAGGTTGATTACACAGTTCAGGTTTTAGTGCTGATTCTTATAAAACAACACCACCAATGCCAAATAGTGTGATGCTTTTGTAATTAACCTGTTTGTCTAAATCCCTAAAACAACAGTAATTATCGGGACAGTTTACTGAATGTATGAGGTTTTTAATCCAGTTGCTCGACTACAAATTGACTGATGCATTTGTTATTGATGATCAAGCACACACAGCGTAAATGGGGCTGCAACTGTTACTTTCATTACCAATTAATCTGCTAATTATTTGCTTAATTAATCGATTCATCATTTGAACTATAGATTCACAGGAAATTGTTAAAAATGTCCTTCAGAAGTTCAAGGTGAACATATTCAGTTTACTTTCACATAAAAGAAAAAAAACAACAACAACTAATTTTCACAAATTAGACGCTGGAACGTAGTAAATCTTTGACTTTGATTTGTGCTTGAAAAATTACTTTTTGTGCTTTTTTTGCTCAATTAATTGGTTTTCTAAAGAGTTTCCCACTTTTTTTCTGTCTGATTGTTTCTGAACTGGAAGACGCTGTTGCTGCTGTCACTGCATATTAACTCTAATAACACAAGATTTTTTATGTATTTTGAGGCAATTTATTGCTCACTTGGCTTGTTAGCAGTAAAACATACCTGTTTACTAAGTTACTTTCTTTGAAAGATGAAAAAATCTCATTCTAGTTCATGTGTACTGTTGAGGTCCTTTGCAACATCCCTGGTTTGATTTTGCATGCCCCCTCTCTCCCCATATTTCCACACTTTTTTCTGTTATTAACTATTGAATAAAGGGCCCAAAATATAATCTTTAAACATTCTTTTGTTGATGAAAATACCTACTATGTATGTGCTCAAATACATTTTGGATGGGGGATATTTTATTACGACTCAACTTTACCCCTAAAGCGACATTTTAACAACCATGTGGAGTTGTAGCAGCTTTAAAGTTGCAGTATTTAAAAAAAAAAAAGAAAGCTCCTGCTGACCTGGTCCCAGGTTCTTGGTGTAAGTGATGAGGTCCTCCATGGTCTCCACCACCTCAGCTACTGCCAGATACTCTAGGATACCTTTACATACACGAATTATCTTACGCACCTGGGACACAACACAGACATAATCACAGGCAGATGAGAGCTTGTATACAGGCATGAAACAACGGCTGATAACGGTAATTAGAGGAAAACTACATTAAGAGAACAAAATTCACTGTGTGCACAAGCTTTTTTTAGACAGCGTTGACCCTGTTGTTTGTGTGGTGTCTTTGTGTGTGTGTGTGTGTGTGTGTGTACAGTCTTGTGATGTACATCTTGTGACTGTGAGAAGTTGCTCTTTCAAAAATGAGGCTACTGATGAGACATGGTGAGCATTATCACGTGCCCAATGTGACTCCACTTATGAAGCTGCCATCAAACATTCAACACACACACACACGCCACTCAGGCTGGTACATACCATATCCTCTCACACACACATACAGAAAGAGCCATCACACACACACACACACACACACAAACACACATCCTGAGTTATGACAGAGGGAAGTCATTTGATCTCAGTGATTAGATCTGGCTGCATTTGAGACTCCATTACAGACTTGCTCTAAGCTGAGTTCCTCCTTCCTCTGTGCAGCTATATAAAGCTTTATTTCCCTGAAAGATGCCACACGTCTGAAGTAAGAGGGATTCTCAGGACAAACAGAACCAGCGACCAGGGCACGCACGCACACGACAACGAGCAGTCTACCTCTGCCTCATCAAAGGTAAGGAGCAGGTCGGACGTTCCAGACAGTATCCCTCTAGATCCATCGATCAGATAATCTCGTGCAGGAACAGAGTATGGATCTGCCTTTAGCATCTGAGCCGCCTGGACGAGCTTAGAGCTCGAGTTCTCCACCCTGAAAAAACACAGCTGGCTTAAGACGAGCAGTCTGGATCAAACCAAGCATATACATTTACCAATAACAGGAATGTATCACCTTGTAAATCACATAGATCAGGAAAAATAAATTTCCTGGTAACAACTAGGCTTACAAGATGTTACAAGGTGCAAACATGGGGGAAATGTGTTGTGCACCAAATTTGAAGAGATTTTTCTGCATTTGAAAAGGTAATAACTCCATATGAGAAGCAATGACAAAGCCTTGGATGCTCTGTAATTAAATTTGGGATTTAGAGTTTGTTGTGTTTAATTATATACATAAATAACGTAACCTTTAATGCTGCTAAACAACCATGCACAAATGTTCAGAGTTTGGGGCTTTCATACCAATTCAATAAGAGATCAATGACTACTTTAACCTGAAGAAAGTGATGGATTTTAAGAGCACTTGAATAAAGTCAAGTCCCTCCTCTTTCTGACCCCATTGGTCAGGGTATCGATGGCTGCTGGTTCATCTATATTTAGGCTGGTTCACATTCCCACACGCCCCCTTCTAAGCCCTGTGAGTGAGATTTATGGTGTAATGCCCCTTGTATGTGCGAATGGGCCTGAGAGAGCAGTGTGTGTGGATCTGCTCGAGGTCTGGTCTGGTGGTTTTCTTAAAAACTGAAATAGTAATTAGAAAAACTAAAAAAACAATTTTGTTGACAGAAAAGGGGAATCAAGCAGAAGTGGAAAAAAGTCAAAGTAAAAGCATGAACACACAAATTCAGCACATACAGGCAAGCAAACACAGCCTGATGTCTGAGTCCTGGGATTGCTGAGTAGCAGCTCTCCGCCGGCACCCAGAATTCAAGTCAGCTCTTTGGATGCAAGCTGGAAAACAACAAACAGCCTCTCAGCAGTCTGGATGCTGGAGCCGGACTGTCACCCGGGCTCAGCCTCAGAAGTGGCTCTTTGTTGCAGCTGGGAACGCAGCCACGTTTCCTGACATTAAATCGGCTGGAATCCTCTTTTTAACAAGTTCTCTGTCCGCTGAGATAAAGTGGACCATTTCCATGATGTTGTCTCTATGTAATTGTGTGAGTTACTGTGGGTGAGAGAGGGGCAGAGGGAGGAATACAAAGAACAGACTTACTTAATGAACGCAGGGGGCATGTCTCTCTTCATCACCTGGTCCTCCGTGGTTTGAACTGTCTCCTTCCCCACCTGCAGCACACACAGGTGAACCGTTTATTTTATTCTCATTAGCTGCAGCGAGACAGGAAACAGTATTCAAGCGAGCACTATTAATAGTCTGAAGGGTGAACGGGTGTGCATCAATTCACACCTATTTCAACTATGCGTGCATGTCATATCTTTCAAGCTATGAAATGCAATGCAATGCTCCAGTTGACTCGGTTGTTTTTATTCTACGAAGTCCGAGAAGAAGCTCAAAGCACCCATATGTGGCCGTGAACTGGATGTGTGTAGTGCTGATTTCATTTAGTCATCAGTACAGTGACGACGAGGCAGAAAGTGTTTGCTAGGAGTGTAATCATTTTCCACATTACATCAGGCACAAATGATATTCAGGGCCTAAAGGTAAATGTATGTTTTCTTTTTACCGAGCAAATTGGACCTGACAGTCAATGACTGAGTATTGATTTTTCTATTAGAGTAGGTAGATTTCTTTCCTCCTGTGGCCCCACAATGTTTTCTTTCTGAATGTGATTCAAACTATAAACTTCGATGTTTTCATGCCCTCAAATTTCTTTCAATACATTAAAAAGGACCTTGATGAACTTTTTTTTGTAGATTTGGTTGCAAACAATTAATATTCTCCCCCCAAAAATACATAAACAACGTAAAACATATGAGCTTCTATTCTGCAGTCAAACATTTCAATGCCAGTGACAAACAAAATTAAGTATTTATGTCCTGCTGTGCATTTATTGTATTTAATATTTCTTCTGTTTTGTTCTGTTTATTGCAAAGAAACATTATCACTTCCACAGCTACATAATGTTGTTACAACAGAAGTCAAAATATGGACTCTTACTTATAATTAACTGTTTACTATAATTTAGTTCCTGTTCCCCTCTTGAATTGTTATTTTCTGTGCTGCCGTGATTTAGTTTTTCTTTTATTAAGGTGATATTCAAGTAGGTGTGCACATTTTTTGGCTTTATTAGCTGCTCACCTCGTAAAACGAACTATATCTTATCTCCCCCGCCTCAAGGAAGCAGAATAAGAAACATGCACACTGTAAACAACTGAGGATGAGAAGTTTTACAAGAAAATTGTAACCTCTCCTAAATGTTCCTGTTTTGTCATAGAAATTGTGTAAATCACAGTTACACAGAATGGTGACATCACTCATTTCTACAACACACACACACACACAGACACGCACACACGCACTTGAGATGCAATTACAGTGAGATGATGACATCAGTTTGTACTGCGTCTATGAAAGTTGGTTAATAGACCTTCTGGCTCCAGAGACTCAGGAGGCAGCCATCAAACAACACAAATTCACTGATCCATCCAGTCTGCCCCTCACATGTGATTTATTCTCAAATTTTACAGATCATTTTGCAGATTATCTACAAGAATAGATTATTATTTATCATTTATGATGGTAGGCTGGTAAGAACTGAATTATAGCAATAAAACTAATTTCAGTCATGCTACTCTATGTTGTACTTGTAATACACCAATAAATAATGTCATTATCAGTGTTTTTATTCCATAAACCACAGAAACACAAGATCTATTCTCATTTATGCAACACAAAATAATTGCACGTTTTTAAGCATGAACTTGAACAAAACACTAGTAAACCTATGACTGCAAGGAAGACACAAACAAATATCAGAAGGCTTAAATGTGTCTGTCTATTTCCTTGTTTAAAAGAGGAGATTCCCGACTCTAAAATGTGAGGAATGCAGCTCTACGAGTAGAGTGCACCCTGATGAACCCCCCCCGACACTCCGGGACAAACTTGCCAAGTCATATCAGGTGACTTATCAAAGAGCTGCGTGAGCTCCAGAGTTTCCTGTAAGCAGCAACACTTGGCATCGATTATTCAATACATAATAAATGCGCAGTTAAGTGGTTTGCTGGACGCACTGACAGTGTGATGTGTGTGCAGTTGTACAGCCAGAAAGGTGTGACTGCTTCAGCTCTGGTGTGGGTGCAGCTTTCATACTGTCTTTTTTTAAAATCAGCTTATTGTTTTGGATTTTGCGTACTTATTAACTTTGTCTGCTGTCTAGTCCAGAGTGTGTCAGAGCTTTTTCAATAAAAAACAGCTGTCTGCTGTTGTTGGAAACAAAACTGATGAGAGCGAACAAAAACATTAAAGTTGCGAGCCTTAAAACCAACACAATGACCAGAAAGATGCTAAAACGCTCTATGGAGCTGTAAGGAACAGCAAGAGTGATGATGCTCTGTAAGTGAACCCTTTCACGTTACACATAGTCATCTGACCCTATATTCATACAAAAATGTATTAGCAAGATGGAATGAATCAATTAACCAATCTATCAAAACAGAATAAAACGTTCTTTTAAATGATACAATTCTGCTATATAATAAAAGCCAGGAGTAGATTTAAAGCAGACTGAGAAGCAGAGGGGATGTGTGGACATACAGCCGGAAACTCATCCTGGGTCTGCCAATGAACAAGAAGAGATGGCTTATATTTACATGGTGGAGCAGGCTGAGATCAGTTGGTTTGTCTGTGTGTGTGTGTGTGTGTGTGTGTGTGTAGGGGGTGGAGGTGGGAGGGTGGACTATGATGCTTGGCAGAGTGTGGTCTGAAGACGCCAGAGACACTTTCCCTCCCTCACAGGGTGCCGGCGTCCGACTGAAAGTGGCTATTTCTCTTCCTCCTGCCATCCCTCCTCTTCTTTCCTCATTCTGCATCACGCTGTTTAACAGTTTTAGTCGACAGTCCTCGCATCCCTCCTCTCCCTCTCGCTCTCTGCTCTGTTCTGTCAGTGTGTGGTTACTTCACTCAACGGTAAATCTATTTATTCCTTCCTCTCTCTCCCC